TATTAGAGGAGATATCATTGGTGTTCCACGACTGACTGGAAACTGTATTGATGGATATAAGTTTGCAATTTGCGGCTGAAATCCAATATTATAAAGATTTCCAATTTCCTCTAAAATACTATTTATATCGTTCCGGTGACCATGTTTAAATAATGAAATATAGCTTGAATCCAAACAGTTATTCACAAAAAACTGACAATTATTATACGACACTATTTCAATAACTATCACATCTTTTGGTATCAAAGGTAAAAGTTTCTCAAGTGGTGTTAAATTTACTACATTGTGTGCATAATATTCAGCAGTAGATAACTGTGTAAGTGAGTTGTATGTTTTATTGCGAGGCAAAAACATATTTAACCATTTCTTATTGTAACTTTTTAAAGATTTACATGGTACTATTTGATTCAAATAGTTTACTAGGTGCTTTGTTCTAATGTGTTTTAAATATTGATTACAAGCAGCAAGGCTATCATTACACTGAAAAAAAAAACAGTAATAATAAAATAACACAGTATGTACAGAGAGAAAAATACTTTTATACTTTCTTACCTGTTCTGCTTTTGTTTCTTTAAATGCAACACCCATATAATACGCTATTAAAATTGTTTCCTCAACAGTAAAAAGTTCATTCGCATATCCGCACAGAAGTTCACCAATCGACTCACCGATTACGTAATCGGGCACAATTCCAATATGTAATAAGAGATCCACTATTGCAATCTATATAGAAATAACCATGTACAATGTGGAAATACATATATATAAACATATTCTACTATAGACATCTCCTCAAGATATTATACCAACATCGGAATGCGATTGAAACCAGCTAAGTGCAAAAATATTAAACTATAAATTAAACAAATTTTAAATTCAAAATTTAAATTTACTTGTCACGTAGTCTTCACAATTCAATAGATGTAAGAAGCAGAACATAAATATGTAAAAATACTTTTTTTTACTTACCTGAATACCAATGATTGCTACGAATGATTTTATAATATCAGTGTAAGTACTTTCTTTTTCGTTGAATAAAATATCCGTAACACATATACCGTGTGGTTTAAGTGCTGCATCACATTTCTGAATTGTCTTAACAAATATTGGTAGTTCCATTAATTCTTTGCCTGAAAAATAACAGTTAAAAATATTTTTCATACATATAAATTCAAATAGTGTACATTCACACATAAACATGCTTAAACAAACAAGAAATATATAATATACTAAAGAGAGAAATAATGTGAGAGATAAACATCAACCACAATTACGTAATTTGAAACGTTTTAATCTATATTTTCAACTAACAATAAATTAGATATAAAATTGGATATAAAAACGTAATAAGTTGAATAAAGATATAAATGAAAAAAGAAAAACAAATAAAACAAATTTGTAACCAATCCAAACATATTTTCTATACGAAAACGTCAAATCATTGTGTATCAAAACCAAACATTTTGCATTCATTGATCTACTGAAAGATAGGATATAAGATAGGATATAAGACCAAGTATCACAAATGAAATAAATGAACAATTAATGAATGAATAGGACAAAGGACATATTGAAGTATATTGATTTCGAGTAGTTTTTTGAGTATTTTTAATATAGATGCGTGTGCACATATGCATGTGTGTGTGTAAAATAATCGCAATTATTATTAAAATAAATACCTATGCTACGCCATATGACATCTGTTCCGGGAAATAGAAAACAAATTTGTTTATTTATATTTGAGTAACATTCTAGCTTCTTAATTGATCTCTGATTTTCTGTTGATTCAACTATAGTATATCCTCTATATGGGTGATGTTCTATATTTTTATTATAAGTGCAGTGTAAAAGAGCAATATATTCCACATCTATCGGCCGATTATGTACCTGTAACGTACTAAAATACGTTAATTGAAAAAACTCTAAAAACAATTTAAAAAAGTAAATTTTTTCAAGATATACTTCATATATACATATATACATATAATGGGATANTCTCTCTCTTTCTGTATGTATATATATATGTAAATAGTTTCTCTGAATTTACGCGCGTTACTGTTTTATATTAATTATGTAGACTAAATATTTTATAGAGAAAACTATAATATATATAATAATATAATTTTTTAAGCTTACATCATCCAGAATTGTTTTAACAGCTTCCTCGGTACGGCCAGACACAGTTACAAGTCTAGGTAAATTGTCTGGCTTCATGATCTTATTTATCGGATTCGATTTTAACAATACGTGACAGTTTGCACCACCAAATCCAAAAGAACTTATACCTACATAACCACCATTCCATGGTGTAAGTTCAGTAACAATTTTTATTCTACCTTCCAGAATAGCAGAAAGAGTGCTTCGCGGTGATTTGTAGTGCAGAGTTGCTGGAATCTTACCAGTTTCCATTGCTATCAGTACCTTCAACAGTTATAAGTATATGTACTATCTATTTTCATGTTTACAGCAGAGTTTTCCTTGACTCAACTTTTTGGAACTGAGTTATTCCTCTGAGTTTTGTCAAAGACGTATACGTAAGAGAGGCTCTGCTGCACTTTTACAGTCCCGGGAAAAAATGGATTAAATCTAAATAGATCTAATTTAAATCTAACAAGATAAAAAAAATGGAAAACTAGATCTAATTAGATCCAAATAAGATCTAAATAGATATAAAGTAGATCTAAATAGATATAAATATATCTATGTAAATTTACACTTTATTTATCATTACATCTACTTTAGATCTACTCAGATCTACTATATTAGATCTACTCAGATCTACTATATTAGATCTATTCAGATCTGCTTAGTTCTGTTTAGATCTGCTTAGATCTAATATAATAAATCTGAGTAAATCTATAGATCTAAAATAGATATACTGATAAATAAAGTGTAAATTTACATAGATCTATTTATATCTGTTTAGATCAACTTTATATCTACTTAGATGGAAGTAGATCTCTTTTTCCATTTTTTTTATCTTGTTAGATTTAAATTAGATCTATTTAGATTTAATCCATTTTTTCCCGGGGTTATATTTTAAATATATTATTATACATATGATTGCTCATTTCAAATAATCTATTTTGTTAAAGATGTTAATTTTACAATAAAGTTTTAAATTGACAAATAATAGGTAATTTTCTAGATTAACTGCTTCATATATTGACATATTTATACTCATTCAACGCGATCTTTTGAGAAACAAAAACAATCTGGCACAGAGACAATGCGTCGCTCTGTTTCGCGAAGCAAGTAAATTATTAATGAAAATGCGGAGCTTGAAGAGCTTTTTAAAAATTCAAATGTAATTCAAATTAACTGTAGCATTACATGAGATTTACTTTAAACACTCAAGCTTTTTAAAACGTCAGTCTGTTTTTATTCTATCATACATTTAAAGAGCAATAAAAACGGACTAAAGCGCTAAGCACACAAACCCCGATAGCTAAATGATAGCAGTATATCAGCAGTATGTACGCAAGTTTTATTGAAGTAACATTTAGCAAAATAGATTATTTATTATAGCTAATCATGTATATATCA